TATCTTCCATGATGAACTCTTCAAAGGTGTATTCCATTTTTTTTAAATGATGGCACTTCTTGTTTGAGTTTAAAGAGCAACAGGTGTATTGTCCATGTCCCTCTGGGACTTTGTGTCCGATTAAGTTTGGGGTTTATATAAATCTATATCTTTGAACTTTGGGATTATTGTACTTGCCCTTGTGTCAAAAGTCCTTGCAGAGGTTTGTCCTTCATGTCCTTGTAGGGTTATGTGTCCCGAGCCATTTTGGGGTAAATACATTTTTGAACTTTTAGGTTTTTTGTTTAAGCAAGATATGTCCATCCCCTTGCGAGGTTTACATAAATATCTTCGAAACAATGGGATATGTGTGCATGTGGGGTTCACATAAAATATCCTGTTATAGTGTCCCAATCCTTGAAGGGATGTGTGAATGCATGTCCTTGTGGGGTTATATGTATGTGTCCTTTTGGGGTTTAATATTTTTGAAACTTCAGGTATATTGCCCATGTCTTTTTGGGGTTTACATAAATATTTTTGGGGGATTATTGTACATATTCCTAGTAAGGTTGTGTCCATGCCCGTGTGTGGTTGTATGTATGTGTCAGTGTTCTTGTGGGGTGAATATCAACATGTCCCTGTGGGGTTAAATGGCCATTTCCTTGCGAGTTTTACATAAATATCCTTAGAAACAATGGGATTATGTATTGTACATGTCCTTATGGCTAGTTTGCACACTGTACATTCAAAAACTAAACCTAAAAACTATAAAGATAGTTTTGATAAAAGTCCAAAACATGGTAAATTTTACAAAAAAATACACAAAAATCTCTATTAGCAATCTTACACCTCTAATAAGTATGTATGCCAAATAGGAGGGGTGTGGGATATAACCCTGCAGGTAGGGCGTAAGAATTGTACCTGCTGCCCCCAATTGCATGATCGTAAGAGGCGACTAAATTTGGGACCTTATCTCTTCTCTCCTTTCTAAATAACTTTCTTTTTCCTAATGTCTCCCTTGACAATGCCTCACTTTTGGCCATTTGTTGAGCGTTCGCCCCTGTGAGGAAGGCTTTGGGTTCTGTCCCCTGGCCGAGACATACCAAAGTCTTTAAAAATGGCAGTTTCTACTCCTGCTTAACGCTCAGCAAATTAGGAGTGGGACGACTGGTTCGCCCGTTGTCAGTATAATGTGACCGGGTGGGGCGTCCTGCTGGGTGTCTTCGGCAGTATGTTTCAGTGAGGTAGCACTATAAAGTCGGCATCAGTTCCGCGCTATTACAAGAAGACAAACACGAACATATCGCAGCCTCCCAAAGTACACACACATACACTACACGCATGCATCTTGCACACAGGGGAGGCCGTCCTTAAATGACCTTGGCTGTTAATAGGACGTTAAACAAAATCAAACAAACAAACAAAGGTGTGGGATATAAACTCAATAGACTTTCAAAAACTTGCCCCAAAAACTATAAAGCGAGTTTTGATACAAGTTCAAAACAAAGTAAATTTTGCAAAAATCCATTTAATCGCCATAATATTAAATGTACACCTCTTATGTTTATATATGCCAAATAAGAGGGATGTTGGATGTATTCTTATGTACTTAAACGTCTTTCGAAAACTCACCCCAAAACTTTAGGTATGTGTGATACAGATACCAACGGGAGCGTCGGGGTACAGCATAAGCTCACGGTTACTCGTAATCAGTGACTGAGCTAAAATTGTTGTAGTTATTCTAAAGGATTGTAGACAAATTAAATATCACAATACCATCAGACCAGATTGCTGTTTACAAATCATATTAATATTTCTGGTATAGTATAAATACGTTAAAAAAATAGCAATTAAATGGCAATAACAATGTTCTTCATATAACATAGCTGCCTAAAATAGGCATCCCTCAAATCAATACTCAGTCATAACATATACACTATAGCTCACAGAATTCTACATAGCACCCATTGTAAATTTCACCATTTTCCCCCCGTTGATAAAGCATTACCACCATGCAGATTTTGAGATTATAAATCTGGATCATTTTAAATACTGTACAAGGCGCTATCAGGATTTTTGTGAATATTCCTTACAACAAAGGATGTCTTCAAATTAGAAAATAAATCCTGTTGGAAAAGTAGGTGGTCTTTGTTACAGAATGCCTTCAGAAATCGTTGACATCACATTTACGTGTTATTCCAGTCGGAAGCGTTTTGGACATTTATTAGGTCACAGGGGTCAAATATGTTAAAAACCATTATACAACTTCTTCTGAAAAACCAAAATGCCCAGAGTGATGCTTTTTGGCTAGTAGCATGCTGGGATGAAGGGCTACCAAGTTTGTTCAAATGAATGACCTTCGTCCATTTTTAAGGTCACAGGGGTCAATTGTATTAAAAAATCTTTATAGAATTTCTTCTGAATAACTAAGAGGCCTAGGCTAATGATATTTGGGCAGTAACATACTAGAATGAAGGGCTACCAAGTTTGTTCAAATGAATGACCTTTACTTATATTCAAGGTCACAGGGGTCAAATATGTTAAAAACCTTTAAACAACTTCTCAATAACCAAAAGGCCTAGGATGATGCTTGTTGGCCAGTAGCATGCTGTGATGAAGGGCTACCAAGTTTGTTCGAATGAGGTCCCTTCAGGTAGGGCATAAGAATTGTACCTGCTGCCCCCAATTGCATGATCGTAAGAGGCGACTAAATTTGGGACCTTATCTCATCTCTCCTTTCTAAATAACTTTCTTCTTCCTAAAGTCTCCCTTGACAATGCCTCGCTTTTGGCCATTTGTTGAGCGTTCGCCCTTGTGAGGAAGGCTTTGGGTTCTGCCCCCTGGCCGAGACATACCAAAGTCTTCAAAAATGGTAGTTAATACTCCTGCTTAACGCTCAGCAAATTAGGAGTGGGACGTCTGGTTCGCCCGTTGTCAGTATAATGTGACCGGGTGAGGCGTTCTGCTCGGTGTCTTCGGCAGTATGTTTCAGTGAGGTAGCACTATAAAGTCGGCATCAGTTCCACGCTATCACAAGGTGACAAACACGAACATATCGCAGCCTCCCAAAATACACACACTTGCACTACACGCATGCATTTTGCACACAGGGGAGGCCGTCCTTAAATGACCTTATAGCTGTTAATAGGACGTTAAACAAAATCAAACAAAAAAATGTTCGAATGAATGACCTTGACTGATATTCAAGGTCACAAGGGTCAAATATTTTTAAAACATTTAAACAACTTCTTCTGAATAACCAAGATGCTTAGGATAATGATATTTGGGCAGTAACATGCTAGAATGAAGGGCTACCAAGTTTGTTCAAATGAATGACCTTTACTTATATTCAAGGTCACAGGGGTCAAATATGTTAAAAACCTTTAAACAACTTCTCAATAACCATAAGGCCTAGGATGATGCTAGTTGGCCAGTAGCATGCTGTGATGAAGGGCTACCAAGTTTGTTCGAATGAATGACCTTGACTTATATTCAAGGTCACAAGAGTCAAATATTTTTTTAAACATTTAAACAACTTCTTCTGAATAACCAAGAGGCTTAGGATAACGATATTTGGGCAGTAACATGCTAGAATGAAGGGATACCAAGTTTGTTCAAATGAATGACCTTTACTTATATTCAAGGTCGCAGGGTCAAATATGTTAAAAACCTTCAAACAACTTCTTCTCAATAACCAAAAGGCCTAGGATGATGCTAGTTGGCCAGTAGCATGCTGTGATGAAGGGCTACCAAGTTTGTTCGAATGAATGACCTTGACTTATATTCAAGGTCACAAGGGTCAAATATTTTTAAAACATTAAAACAGCTTCTTCTGAATAACCAAGAGGCTTAGGATAATGATATTTGGCCAGTAGCATGCTGGGATGAAGGGCTACCAAGTTTGTTCAAATGAATGACCTTGACTTATATTCAAGGTCACAGGGGTCAAATATGTTAAATATCTTTAAACAACTTCTTTTGAATAACTAAAAAAAGCCTAGGATAATGATATTTGGCCAGGATGAAGGGCTACCAAGTTTGTTTAAACTAATAGGTCCAGGGTTATGATATTTTACCAAAAGCATGCTGGGTTGGAAGACTTTAAACTCTGTTCAACCTAATGTCCTTGTTCGACATTCAAGGTCACACGCGTCATATGTTTAAATCTTTTAATAGGTTCTTATGAATCAAACACTGATATTCTGCCTGTAGCTGTATTTTAGTCCACTTTTAAGATTACAAGTGTTACATTAATACCAGGTGAGCGATTCAGGCCCATTTGGCCTCTTGTTAACAGTACATCCCTTTCGATTTTTGACACAATATCAACACAGACAGCTTGCTATTTTTTATCATCTGACAGTATGACCTATATTTATGATCTTTCCAATGGATTTTGCCGCAGTTTAATAATTTCTCTCGTAAACGAATCATTTCAAGGGTTGAGGTTAATTTAGAATATGTTAAAATGATAATGTATGCTCGGAACATTGTCGGTTTAATCATGACAGGTCTTCGTCATGTTGTCGATGTCGGTCATTTGGCTTCCCCAAAATATTTTCCCACGTAACAAACTCTGTCTTAAAGGTGACGTTTTTAAAAATGTCATGTGCAACCAACGTCCGCATACAATATTCAATTTATAAAGAATCATCTCTTGACAATACTTTTATAGAAATCAATCGTTTATCGCCTCTCTCTGTGTGTCCTAACAAGGAGTATATTTAGATTTTTACCAATTATATCTGGTCATAAAATCCTGGAAATCGATCGTTGTATAAAGACAATGTAATTGGATAAGGGCTAGGACTGAGTGTAAAGATGTATTTGAAACCACAGGGCGGATAGGTCATTTAAAAAGAGTTAATTTGCAAAAGATATGACATGGGTTTCTTCACCAGATAACACAATTAGATTAGATCTAATTATGTGATAAATATTTTATTTTTTTTCTTTTGAGTGAAGGAATATTTTTATATGAAAAAAATATATCGATTTTAATAAACAGCAAAACATTCCAGGTGATACAAAACAGACGAGATGGCGAGGAGGAATTCTACAGACCTTGGGCTGACTACAAACAAGGCTTTGGTGACCTCCGTGGAAACTTTTGGCTTGGTTTGTATCTTAACAATTATTGTATTGACGAATCTTTAATGTGTAGGTATGTTTTTGGCATCTGGCATCACCGATGAGTCCTGACAGGACGGAAAGCTGTATGATGCTGCGTAATTCAATTTTGACATTCTGCACCAATAACCAATTTGTTCAAAGTACAGTTACCTATTCCGTCTTTGCGTATTGCAGAGTTATCTTCTCTAGGGAGCAGGTAATGATTGTTACGTCACTTGTTTGTGAGAGTAACGTCATCAATTTTTGAGAAAACGCCGTAATTTTCTCACACAGACCAATGACGTAACAATCAATACCTGGTCCCAGGAGAAGATAACTCTGCAATACGCAAAGACGGAATATGCGTGTAAGGGAGAAATATTGATGACAACAAAAGTATGTCAAGACATTCAAAAATTCTGGATATTTATTGCATAAATATTTAAAATGGAAACTAATGTTATATATGTTTCATGTATCTTGAACAGGAAATGACGCAATTCACCACCTCACCTCCACAGAGTCTATTCTCCGTATTGAATTGGTCACATGGCTAGGTGATGCTGCGTATGCCCAGTATTCCACGTTCAGAGTTGAAAACGAGACCGAAAGTTACAGACTGATTATATCCGGGTTCTCCGGTAACGTCACACGTATGTATATGTGGTATATTACTCGCATTGAAACTTGCAAAAATAATCGTCACTTATTCATTTCTCCTTGATTTCCAACATAGTAATCTACATGAATCCTGGTGATATCAAACCAATGATGGATAAACATAGCTTGAGAAACAGTTACAAATAAACGCACCAGCAATGACATAGTGCTTAATTTATGTTGCAAGACATATCTACTAGAGTGTCTAAATGACGGCTTTTATTTTATTGACAGAGGACAATATGGCCATTCACAATGGAATGTCTTTCTCGACATTTGACAGGGATAACGATCGCTATTCTCAGAGCTGTGCTATGGGTAGTAAAGGCGGATGGTGGTATAACAGTTGTTACGACGCAAATCTAAACGGCGCTGAATACATGTCAGGCGACGGTAACGTGAAATCGCTGGTCTGGGATAACTTTTACCCAGATATAGCTTACCCTCATATGATGACGACAAGAATGCTTTTAAAGTATTTGTAGTATTAACTGAATGTGAACATTTTATTATTATTAAAGGTTCTTTGCATTACTGTGTTTCAATAAGCCTTAATTAACTAATCCACGTATGGATACGAATGATCTTCGTAACCTGATTTGTACAATGTACATGTACACTGTCATGTTTTGCATGCTTTTCGCTCCTTAAACAGACTTTGTTCGCCCTGTGCTTTTTTGCCACATGCATCCTAGAATTTTGGTTTTAGCATTTTTGACATGCGAAAATTTGGTTTTGTATATCAAAGTCACGAAAGGGATACTTTAGGAGCACATGTTTACGGTTATTAGCTCACCTGGCACGAAGTGCCAAGTGAGCTTATGCCGTGGTGCGGCGTCCGTCGTCCGTCCGTCCGGCGTCCGGCGTCAATATTTTACTTTAAACGACTTCTTTTTAATAACCGAAAGGCCTAGGGTGATGATATTTGGCCAGAAGCAAACTGGGATGAAGGGCTACCAAGTTTGTTCAAATAAATGACCTTCATCTATTTTCAAGGTCACAGGGGTCAAATATGTTGAAAACTTTAAACAACTTCTTCTCAATAACCAAGCTGCCCAGGGAGATAATATTTGGTCAGTAGCATGCTAGGGTGAAGGGCTACCAAGTTTGTTCAAATGAATGACCTTCAATTATATTCAAGGTCACAGGGGTCAATTGTCTTAAAAAACCTTTAAATAACTTCTTCTGAATAACCAAAATGCC